TTTTTTAATAGTTTTGACCAATTAGCCTGGTACTGAAGTTAGGCTTACCAGCCTGAAATTGCCAGGATCACCTCTGGAGCCTTTTTAAAAAAAATCGGTGTTATATTAGCTATCCTCCAGTCATCTGGTACAAAGGTTGATTTAAGCAATAGGTTTTATGCCACAGTTAGAGGTTCTGCAATTTCATATTTGAGTTCCTTCAGAACTCTTGGGTGAATTACCGTGTGGTCCTGGTGACTTATTACTGTTTAATTTATCAATTTGTTCTAAAACATGTGCTAAAAGAACTTTCATCTCCCCAACACAGTGACTACAGAATGAAGAAAGGTGTATATCCGGGGGGGGGGGGGGGGGGGAGAGGAGGGAATCTCCTGTTGACCCCTTTGTTCATTGAGATTATCCTTCTTGCCCCACCCATACCCAACAAATCTTATCTATTTCCTTCCTCCTGCCTCATATCTTTTTACTAAGAGAAGGCAGCCTCCTTTTATAGCCCACCAGGCAGCCATATGACTCCTCTATCAGTCATGTGCTCATTCAGGTCACATACTCCACCAGGGACTAAAACTCCCAGAGTCCATGACCCATAACAGACAGGCTGGTAGCACCTTGCACTGTTACCTTTTAAAATGAGAATCAGGCCCAGAGTCAGGAAATTCAAAAGAATCTCACAGTCAAATTAATTTACCCATGTTAGATACATGGAATGTTTTTTATTAGTAGCTATGCTGTTAAATATAACTTTAATATACAATTGGCCCAATTGCACCATTTGGATACGCAAACACAAGTCCCATTACCTTTTATTGAAGTTTTATGAGTATATATAAAATATGCCCTCATAAACAACTGCTCCAGTACTTTCCATTATTGGTACAAAACAACTGCTGCAGAATACTTTAGAGTTGTTTTTAATAAGTTCCTTTCTGTGCAATGTGGGTGTTTAAAATGTACTGTGAGAACCTTAATTTGTTACTCTAGAATTTTAAGCTAAACTATCATGTTGATGTTACATTGAAATGATAAGGCAATATGATCAATTCTAAGTTCAAGATAACTTGTTAACTGTATTTCTTCTAAGGGCCATATGGACCAAATTCATCCTTGGACTCACCACACGGCAAAAGCTGTGCATGGATTAGCTTACCTGAGCTAGCAGGAATCCAGCTGGCACAGGTAACAGTAGCATGGGCTTCAGCACAGACTAGCGAGAAGAGCACACACTTAGGGTCTGTACCATTGCACATGTACTACTTGTGCTGAAGCCCACACTGTGCTCTCTTCACTGCTATTATTGTTCGCACTAGCTGGATTCAAGCTAGCTTGAGTAGTCTAGTCCATTCACAGCCTTAGATGAAATTAACTAAGTGACACGAAGGGTAAACTTGCCTCAATTTATGTAATGTACATTTGCTAGGTTATTAGGTTTCTTTCCATTCATATAGATTTCACTCCCCTAATTTGAGAATTATTGTCTAATACCTTAGAGCACAACTGTACAGCAAAATAGACAGGAATAAAAGTCGCTGTTTTCTGTGATGTGCCCTGTGGGATAGTTCAGACAGAATTTCAAGCTTAGTAGATCACACCTCTTCTTCATCTCTCCCTTGGAATGCTAGTTGGAAAAAAAAATCATGAATTCCTAAGTACAGTACCAGAAGCTGCAAGACAGTTTCTTTTACTCAACCAGCCCTACATTACTTGGGGATGGCAAAGTTTAGAAAACCATGTGCCTATTTACAAATGTGTAATTTCAAATGCTGCTGGACTGTTAGAAATACAGATCATTCAGGCCTGCGCTATTACTCTGAGCTGTAATCTAGTCATGAAAAAAACCACAGTGTATTCTCAAAGGCACAGCAGTGAACAGCAGCAAATGCAAGGGAAAGCTCTGAGACAAGCATTTTAAAGTTCTAGTTCTATTGTCCGTCAACAATAGAAATCAGCAAAACCCGTGGGGATTCTTACTGGTTTTTATTCTAGTCTACTTGGGGTGCTTCATAATTTTTCAAATCTTTTTATGTTACTTTTAAAGAAACAATAAATAACCTTCATAACACGTTTGGAATCAGTCAATCTACAGCAGCAGAAAGTGTCTGAATACATCTGCACTTGTCAGTTTTGCCTTTACATCTTCACTGGCCGTTAAACAGGAGAGTTATTACAAACATTGATTGATTGATAATTTTTAGGTGACACTTACACTGATGCTAGATAAAATGTTGGAGCAAACCCATCAAATCATACAAGTTTTTAGGCTTTATGGCCAATATAAACTACATTTTAAGACCCCACATATTTATATGAACAGTGTAAGGTGATTTATATAAACAGTATTAGATATAAAGATCATTATACAATTATTTGCCATTTCTCACTAAGCAGATGCAGTTTTTTTTAATATTTTGACAGAAATCTGCTAAATTATGTCTCAGATGGCCAATTTACTGATAGAGACACTAGGTTTTAAGTGACAAGACTTTCCGTCCTTGAAATTATATTGCTTATAAAGACAATTATAAATAATGTTAACGCCAAGGCTTCAGCAGCTACCCCACTGCTGCTTTTGTATAGTTGTGCAGACTTCCATATTTGAAACAGACAGGTGAAGTTTGCTTGTTATATTTTTCCATATAAAATTGTGAATTGGCCCATGAAATAAAAATGCTGGAGAACCACTGAGTTGATGAAGCAATACTGAGAAATTAGAGATAGGCTAATAAGTTGCTCTTGGTTTACAATTAAGTTTAAGCAAGGGATTGGGTTTTGGTCTGAAAACAGCTGCTGCAGTGACAGGCACCATACAAAAACCTAAGCTGCTCAGAACATTCAAATTTAGACATTTTTAATGAAAAAGGGGACAGATTTTTTTTAATGAAAAACTGATACCCTTCTTTGACCCGCTCAGAGAGTGAAAACTACAGCTACAGTTGAGTTCAGATTCAACAGCACTGAAATCTTGCAAAGTTGTCTCTTGAGATTTTGACCCAAAATTGCAGAAATCTCATAAGATCAACTTATTTCATGCAATTTTGGCAGTATTTCTACCAGTAATGGAAAACAGTGGTTTTTCTGGTCTCAAATATAACTTAGAACAAGAACTATAGGGGCAGGTTCTGACCTGGGATTTTAAAGTCTAGTGCGCCAGGAATCTGAATGGGTTATGACTGGAGTTTCCAGTTTCAGCTCACCTCTGTGAAATACCAGAGCATGAGTACCTTGTCACAATATTCCTACCCAACACAACACTCTTGCCTCATGTAAATCACTTCAGGGTGCAGCTATTAGTACAGAGGCTTGACTGATATTTAATTATATGCGTCTCCCCCGCACTTTACCATTATTAAAGTTCTCAAATGCACACTAGACTAACCACAGTACATTTCTAACAATACAATTCAGCAGCACCCTCTAGTGAATGAACAGAGGACAAGCACCTGCTGCAGCATAACCAAAAGTTGTCACAGTGCATCATGGCTCCAGTGAGGCGATAGACAGGAAAAGCAGCAGTAGAACTGAGCAAAAAACAGGTGAAACTCAGATCAGGTTTGGGGATTCTTGGGCTCTAGGCTCACCTACAACCAGCTGCAATGGCAGCAGGATGTTTTTCTCCTCTCCCGATGCAATATAGGGCATGGGGAAGGACCATAATTGAGAGAGGCCACTGGAGAATATCAAATCTGAGTGTGAACTCCCTTCCCCCTTAGTTCTGTGGTTATCTGAGCTGGTGTTTTAGTTCAGGCCCATCTCTAATTAAAACCATGACTCAAAATCTTTAGTACTATACATACACAGGAGTTTGCCCTACTCATTTTTCTATTTTCTTTCATCTTTGTGCAAAGCCACGTCAGTGGTGATGGAGGTTTCTTGAAAGGAACAAGGACAGAATATAGCACATTTTAATGCTTTTTATAAAAACCTCCAAGCTTATTTTGTTTAATGAGAAGGAATTTAATTCTGCCTCCTATGCTGTAATGGGAAAATTCGCAAACAGAAAGGCCAGGCCAGGTTGGTATCTTGGGGCGTCAGGAATACTATATAAGGAGCCTCTTCTCCCTACCCCACTTAGAGCTCTTGCTTGGCAGAATTCTCACCTAGCGCTCAATAGTACACTGAAAGGGGACCAGGACAATGAGGGTGCCATGCACTATAGACCCAACAGGTTGTGGTCTGCTAGTTTGCGGGTGTGATCAAGCTTCCAGCATGTATGTTGTTGTGTGCAGCTAGTCAGAGTAGCACACTAGTTCTTTTTAAAGGTGCTTCATGTATTGACCATTGTCAGCTTGGAGCTATCCTAGCAGGTGACTGCAGGATGGCTTTAGTAAGCAGTATACAGACAGCACTGCTCCATCTATCCCCCAATCAATTTTTTTTAGAACAGTAAATATCCTTTGTCTAGGTTAGAATTTTTTTTTCAATCAGGCTTGCTAAATTAATCATACTTTTGACTAAATTAATAATAATATTTCACTTTTTAACTGTAGGCATTTATATGAAAAGGATTTTCATTTTGTAGTAACATCAGCTAAGTGTAAAATTTGGAAGGAGAGCATCAGTCCTCTTGTTTCCATGCATAAGTGATTGTGGAGGAATCTTTCTCACCGTGATGTACCACAGTACACAGGTCATTTCACCTTCCTCTTAAGTAGGGTGACCAGATAGCAAGTGTAAAAAATTGGGATGGGGGTGGGGGGTAATAGGTGTCTATATAAGAAAAAGCCCCCAAAATTGGGACTGTCCCTATAAAATCGGGACATCTGGTCATCCTACTCTTAAGATACAAGTATATGTCCCTTCCAGAGGCAAGACTATCTGATCTTCAGAAGTCTATTCTAACATGGCAATTCCTGTATATCTACTCAAGAAACTGTATTTTACTCAACATTATGTCTTTGTCACTGTCAAGTTGTAAATCTACTCAGCTGATGAATAAGTTAAAATGGAGACAATCAGATATTCCTAGAGGAAATAGACATCACCTAGACATCACCAGGGCTCACCTGCAATTACGGACTCTTGTACCAGTGAAAAGAAAGTTTGTGTGCAGGGATCGACAAAGGGACAAGCATGTCGGAAGATAACAAAAAGAACTGGCATTAATGTACATTGCAGCAGCCATAAAGCATCAGATACATAATATGGGCATTCTGAAAATACACACAGTTGAACTTTCACTTCTCTTAGACCATTAGGAGTCGAAGGTGGTCCCATATGGCATTCAAAAGATATTTTCTCCTAGATATATATTAAAGTCCATGATTATACTATGATCTGTCACTCCAGTGTCTCAGGATAATAACAATGCTGGTAATAGAGAGAGAGACTCTTATGGAGATGTCCTAGAACTGTATTGATTTACAAGAAGGTATTAGTAGAACGTATTAATGACTAAAATGTAACTTATTTACATCTGTTCCTTGGGAAGGGGGTGATGCTAGAAATCACATAGTTGTGTATTTCAGAAGGGGAAACCTGAAATAGTCCCTGCTAGATTTCTGCCTACCTTTTCCTGAAGGGAAGAAGCAATCCATCTCCACACTACTCCGGGAATGAGAGATGCAGAGAGTGCTGCTGGGGACTAGGCCTTCCTGAGGGGGGCTCCGCTCAGTTGTCCGTACCAAACACCAGCCAGGCCTTTCGCTGGGCCTCTCCAGTAACTCCACTGTCTGTCCCACCTGGATGCTCAGCTCGCTGCTGTGGCCGGCTGTGAAGTCTTGTAGCACCACGGTTAGTTCACACCCTCCAGACAACTGCCCAGGTAGAAAGAAAAATATCAACAGGTTAAAGTGCACTGAATACAATTGGCTGGTATACTGTATTTGTATTGGCAATCCTAGAACTTGGGTGATAGGATTTCTGTTGCAATTCCTTAGCAGCTGTGTTAGTAATTTCCTTTGTCAAAGTTCAACTAGCTGTGCCTCTGATTTCCTTTATTTCTATTGACTTTGCCAACCTTAGGTAATAAATTCAAAACCACCCATCTGTTAACCCCTACATGTGCTCTGCGAGATTTTCTTTAAAACACTTGTTTTTCTTGCTTTTCCTTCTCTTGTGTCTTTGTAGGAGAGTAATGATTGGGGTTCAGGATTCCCCGGCATTCTGATCAATCTCAGAGTAAGCTCCAACTCTCCTGTCCACAGACTGGGTTACATTCATGTTCTGCACTCTCTCCACACGACATCAACAGGGGTTTCAATGAGGGAATGAATACAGAATATACAAGAAAAGAAACCTGCCCTCATTTCACCAAAAGAATCATAGAACCATAGAATATCGGGGATGGAAGGGACCTCAGGAGGTCATCTAGTCCAACCCCCTGCTCACAGCAGGACCAATCCCCAACTAAATCATCCCAGCCAAGACTTTGTCAAGCCTGACCTTAAAAACCTCTAAGGAAGGAGATTCCACCACCTCCTTAGGTAACCCATTCCAGTGCTTCACCACCCTCCTAGTGAAAAAGTTTTTCCTAATATCCAACCTAAACCTCCCCCACTGCAACTTGAGACCATTACTCCTTATTCTGTCATCTGGTACCACCCCTAAGAGGGTTGTTCTGTACAGCATGTTCTCTATTTTGAAATGATGAGGCCTCCACTGCTTCTCTTGGAAGAAAATCAGACCTCTCATCCTTTTTAAGGGAAAAATAAACACCTGAAGGAGAAGCCTGGGGCATTTCTATTTGCCTTCCAAAAAGATGTTTTAAAAGCTATGTGCGCTGCACTAAACTGCCACTAGATGTCTATGTTTGCCATCATACAGCAAGCTAATAGTAAGGGACTGAATGGTAGTTTTATCTAAATATGGGGGAGGCTGGGAGGGATGTACTGAACGGCGTATTAACAAACAACTGTCTCAAATGAGCTGGGCTTAAATCCAAGAAAATAAATGGCTGCATGTTCCCCTGGATACTCCTTAAATGAGAGCCAGGGACAGATCATTTCCAGTAATGAGGGTGGCAGGTGTTACAAACCAGGCAAAAGCTTTCTTCAGGTGGCTGATTTGATTTTTGGAAAGTATGTCCATTTTTATTGGTTTAAACCGAAGAGGAGAAAGAGCCCTAAAATCGCCTAGGAAAAGAATGAATCGCCTTGAGAAGCCACTGCTTCAGAAAGTCAGAAGACAGTAAAGCATGTTACAGTGAACATCAATCTATGAAGCCCTGCACTGAATTCTGACATGTCCATATCAATTATTTGTGACACTGCACCTCGCGCAACAGACACGGGAATGGCTACCCTAAAAATGAAATTACGACATGGCTTTGTCAATATCGTGTTAAATTCCTAATGCTCTGTGATAAAGGGTCCTTCAACAAGGATAGCACTTCTAAACAGCACCTCATAGGAAGCACCTGCACTTGGTGAACCTCAGATAATGTCATTAACTAGTGACTTCTACAGCCTTTCCTCTGACTTGTTAAAAATAGTCACTCGAGGCAATGGGCCAAATTCTGCCCAGTTACACTGGGATTTGGAACAATTCCACTGTAGTTAATAAAGCTATCCAGCTAATAAAGTTGGATTTATTCTGGTATAACTAAGGGCAGAAAGGGTCTGAAACTGTACCAGCAGAGAAGTAATAGGAGAGTTCAGTTTCATCAAAGGGATGGGGCACCTCTAACTTATCCCGAATGTTCCACTGAGAGGATGGAGCTTCCCTCACATCCGCTTCATATTGCTATGTATCTGGGGGATGACAAGGCCTGAGAACGAACATCTGAAGTTCAGCTAGAGTTGTGGAGAGGGAAAATGATCTCTGGTAATCTTACTCTAACTGTGATGGGAGATCATTTCAGGATCCTCTCAGCTACATCCACAAAAGGAGTTAGCAAGTAGCTTCACCTGGTATGTATCTGAGCTTTGACTACCTGGCAAATGGCAAGTTTTGGAAAAATATCTGTAAACCATATAAGTGAAATGCAGATGGATCAGCCTGGTGATGGTAGATATCCTTTCACCTATGAAGTGCTCCCTTAGTCTATTACTTGTTTAATACATTGTTTAAAAAGAGAATAATTAGTTCAGCCATAAAATGATGTTATCCTATCTACAGCCAGTCATGCAAAATAAAATATATGCATACCACAATTATATTTGATATTAAAGAGAGAAAAAGAAAATACATAATGCCTTAGAGGCTGTATTTCACATGAAAATGGTTTAATACTGTTCTCTATGACATGTTCCCTTATTATTTTAGAAATAACCCCGTTACACTTTATTCATTTACTAAATTGATAGCCGGGTGTTAGTTAGCATCTAAGCACTGTACAATAGGAACAGTACAAAACATGAATATAAAAATAAAGATCCAACCACCCTGAATAGACAATAAAGCAGAACAACAAGATCAGACACAAGGACAAACCCAATAGTCCCCAGTCACAGAGAAACTCCTGGGCACAGGCACACCCAATTAATATTAGAATCAGGAAGAAAAGGGGATAGCAAATACAGATAATAAAATGTTAGCACTTAACAAAGGGGCCCAAAAACAGTTCAGGGCATCATAGCCTAAAAGCAGCTAGTGTGGGACTCTGGCAATTATGCCCCAGGTGAAACCTGCACAACCAGGAATTCTGGACTGAAAAAAACCATATCCTGGCCTAGTTGTGCCTTGGTCTCCTGTGTAGCAAAAGCAGTAGCCACAGCAACTGCTGCTGCCAGTGGCCATGAAGCCATCTTCTGTGCTTTGTTTTCTTTTGTGCCTGAGCCACGGAACATGACTGATGAGTTTAGTACGTTGTTACAGGCTGAGATGCGTCTGTAAAGAGTCACATGGTTCCAACTGATTAGCTCTCACAAATAATCCCTTGGAGTGACCAACTTCATTCAATGAGGCAGTGAGCAGAAACATAGAAAGAATACGTGCCATTTGATAACAAAACATCAGTTGTGTCTCTTGCTATGTGGGCTGCAGAGAGCCGGGCACATTCTGTAGGTCAGCCACTGCTCCCTGCTAGTGCCCCAATGGAGCTAGCCATCCAAGGGGGAATGGCAGAGAGATGGCAGAGCTGAGCAAGTACAGAGCAATGTATCCACCACATCTGTGTGAAAAGTTGACAGAGCAGCCACTGCAGAACTTCTGGCTGAGTCCCTCCACATCCCATGAAGCCTGGACTGCAGCTTAAAAGCCACAATATGGCCCATAGACACTGAACACATTGCTAGCTACACATGGCAACTAATTAGAGATGGGCACAACTGCAGGGTTCAGGTCCTGGTCTGAACTATCAGTCTGAATGCATGGTCATCTCTATTTTGCCTTTTACTAACTATCCAAGCCAGTTCAGGATTATCCCTGTTACTAGTTATTTTACACACTTTCCCTATGCCTAGTATACCAGGTGCATCAGGCAGAACACATATCTAGAGCTTCCACACATCCCAGTTATGCAATGGAAATAAATTTCAGAGGAATGCTGGAGCTAGAAGAGAACCCCATCCTATGCCAGCACAGTCTGCAGTAACGGAGCCATTCATTGCTACTATAGGATTCACACATGGGGAAAAAGCTCACAAAATTATGAGCACTGATGTGAGCAGTTTACTTTATGTTGACTCTACTGACCCAACTACACAACAACTTCTGGCTCCCACAGGAGCTTTCATGTGGAAGGACCCTGCCAATTGCCCACCAGCCTTGGGATGACGAAACACAAGCCCTAAAAATGATCCCAGTCATGGAGACTTCCTGCCGTCAGGCAATCCAAGCTGCTCCAAGCACAGGAGCCAGAAAAGCTTTGTGAGCCGGATGGTAATGTTTAGTGTAGGATTAATGTATTATGGTCTTTTCTGAATCATAGTCTGGTACATGCACATGGGCATCAGCACATCTGTTTGGGCTCAGGCAGCAGAGTGGCCATGAGAGAAAGTGAAGGGGAGCACAGACTGAGCCCCAAAGACCAGGTCACATCCAGTCCATCCCCCTGCCAGTGCAGAACTGCTCACTACAGTACATTTGCTAGTGCCTTATCACTCAAATATTAAAGGGAAATGGGAATAGTCCTCTGGCAGAGAGAGCTGGGGTTTGGGCCAGATGTGTCCTCAGGGAAGGAACCCTAAGTACTTCTAAAATGGGGACAAGTTAGGCTCAGGTAAAATAAGCTATGGTGCGCTAAGCACTAAGTGAAGGTTTACCTGGGATTTGTATTATCTTTTATTAATATACCAGACCTCAGCAGGGGTGTCTAACAATACTCTACGAGAGTGTAGTTTTGTTTGGCATGGGGCAGGAATGCCACCTTTTTACAAGTTTAGGGGAAACCCCCCAAAACCTCAATTGTTCATCCCACATGCTGCAGTGGGTCTTATACACTCTGCTTCTGAAAGATCAAACCAAGCTCTGTTTGAGAGGTGGGAAGTTGCTTATAATAATCTGTTGGTGGTTGCTAGGTAAATGAATAAATACTATCCTGACCAACCTGTAACACTCTGAAGAACAACATACACGGCCAGTTGTACAGAGGACATGGACTAAACAACTCACAGTGCACTTGCTGTACCTGAGTGCTATGGGGTTAATTACAGGTCAGACAATCTCACTGCCAGTGTGAAGAGAGGTAAATAACCTAATTAAACGTGGGACTGATACCAAGCCTTATTTCTGAATTCCCTGTACTTTGGGAATGTTCAAATCTTCATCCAAGTTTTGCCACTGAGGTCCATCTCTAAACTGAATAGTGGATGGAAGGTAGGGAGCTGGGAGGGCAGGTAGGAGGATATTCTATGCACTATACCTAACACTCACT